GAGCTAGATGAGACCCTGTTGGAGAGAGACTGTGGGGTCTAACAGACACGTTCCTAGAGAGGGTTTGGTCCCCGGCCAGAGCCACTTTTAACCTCTCCCTCTTCATAGGTCAAAAAATGTACAGGTTTTCCAACACAGCCTTGCAGATTGGGCCCACTTCCTTTATGACCCTCGTTCTTCCTGTTACCTTTGAACCTGAAAGGTCACAAATGGAGCCAAGGCAACAGTTGCAGTCACAGCAGATACTTCTAGGGCCTAAGCTTGCTGTCAGGAGGAATGGAAAGATCTAGATTGTTACTGCTCTATTTGAGCTCTCTTGGTGGGAAATCTGAAATTCAGTATTATTTGAAGTGCTGATTATGTGAATTATTTTTATTTTTGTTTTAAACTTCAACACATTGATCTACCTAAACTTGGTGGGGAGAAGTCTCTCTCCTTCATCTCACAGAAAGACTCCCAACTTCAGCAGTGCCCTCCATGCTGTCAAAATGCCTTATGGCTGTGGTGTAAAGCAGCCACTGTCTCTTCCTAGTGCGTTGGAGCGGAAGAGGGAGGGCCCGCAAAAGGTTCAACCACAGGATGGGGACTGTGGAGGACAGATCAGGAGCTCATTTCCTTAGTGCACTTTGGCCATTAGACATGTATATATGTGTTTATTAAAAAAAAAAAGAGTCCATGCTCATTTTTTGTCTTAAAATATTTAAAATGTTTCCAACTGAAAAAAAAGACATGTATGTATCTGTGCCTTTAAAGATATATTACATGTTGTATCCATAAATCTGTTAGTAGAAAACGCATAAGGATGAATCAAATGCTCTCTTATGAATTCAGACCAGGCATAGCCCATGAACAGAAAGGTTCCTAATCCCTCTTTATTTATCATCATGATCATCATTCTTTATCTCAACTATACCATATAGAAAGTAATATGTTTGATGTTCATATACCACCAGGAAATAACAGACGTTAACCTTTCACCATATGTGCGCCAAAGCTTTTTGTTTATTTATTTTTATTTTTATTTAATTAATTAATTTATTTATTTTTTGAGATGGAGTCTCGCTCTGTCACCCAGGCTGGAGTGCAGTGGCGCGATCTCGGTTCACTGCAAGCTCCGCCTCCCTGGTTCACGCCATTCTCCTGTCTCAGTCTCCCAAGTAGCTGGGACTACAGGCGCCCGCCACCATGCCTGGCTAATTTCTTTGTATTTTTTTTAGTAGAGACGAGGTTTCACTGTGTCAGCCAGGATGGTCTCGATCTCCTGACCTCCTGATCCGCCAGCCTCGGCCTCCCAAAGTGCTGGGATTACAGGCTTGAGCCACCGCGCCCGCCCAGCTTTTTATTTTTTTATACATTTCACGTATAGCTGCAGCTCTTCACCATCCTGTTCCTTTTCTCCTGGGAGTTAACCTCTTTTTTTTAACTTGTCATTTACATTTATATTTTTTAACTGCTATTATGTGTGTTCATATCTGGATTCAAAATAGTATTATTTTTGTGCTTGCGTGTGTATATGTGATTTACTTAAATGGCATCCCTCTGTTTCTAACCTCTTAGGACATTTTTTGCACTCAACATTGTTTTGATATTGATGCATATAGCCCCAGTTCATTCATTTATGTTTCTGTATGGTAGTAGATTGCATACCTATCTACAGTTTATTTATCCATTCCACTACTGATGAGTGTCAGGTTATTTCCACTTCTGGAGTCATTCTTTAATACATTTATTTAAAAAAAATTTTTTTTTTTGAGATGGAGTCTCACTCTGTCGCCCAGGCTGGAGTGCAGTAGCACAATCTTGGCTCACTGCAACCTCCACCTCCTGGGTTCAAGCGATTCTCCTGCCTCAGCCTCCTAAGTAGCTGGAATTACAGGGACGTACCACCACGCCCAGTTAATTTTTGTATTTTTAGTAGAGATAGAGTTTCACCATGTTGGCCAGGCTGGTCTCGAACTCCTGACCTCAGGTGATCCATCTACCTCGGCCTCCCAAAGTGCTGGGATTACAGGCATGAGCTACTGTATTTGGCCTAATTTTTTTTTTTTTTTAATTCACAAGTTCTCAAGAAAAAAAACAATCAGAGAATGATATTCAGGTTAAAAAATCTTTGTATATTTCTTGTGTGTGTGTGTGAGCAATGTGAATAGTTCTGGTTATTTGATCTTTAAAAATAAGAACAAGAAATGTAACACTTTTTTTTTTTTTTTTTTTTGAGACGGAGTCTCGCTGTGTCGCCCAGGCTGGAGCGCAGTAGTGCAATCTTGGCTCACTGCAAGCTCTGCCTCCCAGGTTCGCCATTCTGCTGCCTCAGCCTCCCAACTAGCTGGGACTACAGGCGCCCACCACCATGCCCGGCTAATTTTTTTGTATTTTTAGTAAAGACAGGGTTTCACCGTGTTAGCCAGGATGGTCTAGATCTCCTGACCTAGTGATCTGCCTGCCTCAGCCTCCCAAAGTGCTGGGATTACAGGCGTGAGCCACCGCGCCCAGCCGAAACATAACACTTTTTAAGTAAACAACTGATAGGCAAAGTATATACTTTGGTTCATTTCTTGATTAAAAAGGGAGCCATAAGTATTTTTGGTTTCTGAATGACAGATGTCTCAATTGTTTTAATTTTTTTGACAAGCCTGCATTGCTTTGATAATCTAAAATCAAAGTTTGACTGAAAACTCCTATTTGGTGGAATTTATTCTTTTATTTATTTATTTATTTATTTATTTTTATTTTATTTTATTTTTGAGACATAGTCTCACTCTGTCCCCCAGGCTGGAGTACAGTGGCGCAATCTCAGCTCACTGCAACCTTCACCTTCCGGGTTCAAACGATTCTCCTGCCTCCCAAGTAGCTGAGACTAAAGGTGCATGCCACCATGCCTGGCTAATTTTTTATATTTTAGTAGAGATGGGGTTTCATGGTGTTGCCCATGCTGGTCACGAACTCCTGAGCTCAGCCAGTCCACCCACCTCAGCCTCCCAAAGTGCTGGGATTATAGGCGTGAACCATCGTGCCCGGCCGGTGGGATTTATTCTTTAGTTCGGAGATAAAGGTCCAAACTGATCCTACCCCAGATTTAAGGAGACAGGTTGGTACCTAGTCTCATTTTTATGAGGCCTAGGTATTGTATGATCAATTCTTTTATGTTCAGCAATTGTGACCCATCAAATGGCCTCCACCTACATCGTAATACCAACTGGACTCAAGGAGCCCATCTTGCTTTCTAATCAAAGGATATTTATAAGGGATTAACTTGAGTGTTCTAAGAAAAATTTGATACTGGAAATAATCTTGCTTACAATAAAACATGCTCTCCAAAGAGCACTGTGAATGGTTCTGGAGTAGAGGCAATAAGTCTAGGAAGTATTTCACTGGTTACAAGTATTAAGGAGGTGGAAGGTTTAGGGAAAACCTGGAAGGAAGTATTTTCCTAGGAGAGGAGGGAGTGTTAATGAATACCTGTGGTTCCTTAGGCATTCAAGTTTGAATTAACTTTCAATTTATCTTGTTGGAGAAACAAATAAGCAAACAATACAGTTATAATACAAAATTTAAAACTTTCTTAATCTTTGAAGTTTGAAGGCTAGGCATGGAGGCTAGTGCCTATAATCCCAGCACTTTGGGAGGCTGAGGTGGGAGGATTGCTTGAGGCCAGGAGTTTCATAGTGAGACCCTGTCTCTGCAAAAACAAAAAATATTAACATAAAGTTTGAATATATATATATGTATGTATATATTTTTTGAGACCGACTCTCACTCTGTTGTCCAGGCTGGAGAGCAATAGCGTGATCATAGCTCACTGCAGCCTTGACCTCCTGGGCTCAGGTGATCCTCCCACCTCAGCCTCCCAAGTAGCTGGGACTATAGGCGCACACTACCATGCCTAGCTAGTTTTTCTATTTTTTGTAGAGATGGGGTTTCACCATGTTGCCCAGGCTGGTCTTGAACTTCTGAGCTTATGGGACCCACCCACCTTGGCCTCCCGAAGTGCTGGAATTACAGGTGTGAGTCACCATGCCTGGCCTAATTTTGTATTCATCACTTTTTGTTTTGTGCTATTTCTTTTCAAGTAGTTGCTCTCTAGCAACCACTTTGTTGGCTTCCCATCCTGCTTTCCAGTCTGGATAGCCTTTATAATCTAATTCCACTTCCATTTTTATTCACACCTCTGGCAGCAATGATCCCAAACTGCAGTACTGTAGTTCTCTGACCTCACAACAATCTGCATCATACCTATGTGCTTTGTCATTGTGGTTCCCAGTGTCTAAAATGTCTGTCCCCTCACAAGCCAACTCGTTTACCCAACTACTGAACAGATTTCTATTTTAACACATTCCAGTGTAGAAGTTTGGGGAATAAAAGAAGTTAGAGTTGAGGTGTCAAAGATGCATTTTATCATCTCCAAAGAAACTTTCTAAATAAGTAGTAAAAATATGTGTAACTAAAAACTAATGGGGGAGGAGTTCAAGTGAGATAATTATAAAAAGAAATTAACTCAAAAGAGGGAAATAAGGGAGAAAAAAGGAGAAGAAAAAGTGGACTAAATAGAAAACACATAGACAAGTTTAAACTTATCAGTAGTTATAATTGACTATAAACAGCATAAATGATTTGATAAAGGTAAAGGTAGTCATAACTGATTAAAAGAATAAAACTAAACCAAAATACACACTATTTATAACAGATATCTAAAGGTTTTTTGTTTGTTTCTTTTGTTTTGTTTTTGCCTCTTGTTTTTTGTGTTTTAGAGATTGGTCTCACTCTGCACCCAGGCAGGAGTACAGTGGTACAATCATAGCTCACCGCAGCTCACACCCTTGGGCTCAGGTGATTCTTCCACCTCAGCCTCCCAAGTAGCTGGGACTATGGGTACACACCACCGTGCTCGGCTCAGAATACACATACTTTGGTTTTTTTTTTGAGATGGAGTTTTGCTCTTTCACCCAGGCTGGAGTGAAGTGATGCAATCTCGGCTCACTGCAACCTCTGCCTCTGAGTTCAAACCATTCTCCTGATTCAGCCTCCTGAGTAGCTGGGATTACAGGTGCACACCACCACGCCCAGGTAATTTTTGTGTTTTTAGTAGAGACAGGGTTTCATCATGTTGGCCAGCCAGGCTGGTCTCGAACCCCTCCCCTCAGGTGATCCACCTGCCTTGGCCTCCTAAAGTGATTACAGGTGCGAGCCACCGCACCCGGCCACACATACTTTTTTATTACGTATAGAACACTTACAAAAGCTGACCATATGCTGGCCCATAAAACTAACCTCAAAAAATATTAAAGATTGATAATCGTAACGATTATCTTCTCTGACAAGAATGTAATCAAGCTAAAAGCAGGGACAAAAATATAACCAGATAATTTCTTTTGTTTAGAAATTAAGACATAACACTTCTAAGTAGCCAACAAAGAAGAAATCAAAAGGGAAATCAGAAAATATTTTGAATGAAGTGATAATAAAAATACATATCAAAATTGTGAGATGCAGGGGCCCAGTTCTAGGAAAGATGGAGTAAGCATCCTCCACCCTGTCTCTCCCACTGAGTGAAGCTATACACCTGGAAAGATTGCACAGAACTGATACTTGAGGACTCTAGAAAGTAAACAGTAGCAGGTGGATTGGGGAAGAAGTCCAGAATTCAAAATACCACTGAACTGGTGGTGAGCTTCACATTTTTTCTTCAGGTATGCACTGGCCTGAACTCAAGGCAACCCCAAACCCATAAATGTGCAATTGCACAGATAGAACTACAGAAGAAACCCCCTAGGTCTGGCTCAAGGAGAGGGAAGGAAGACCCTAACACTCAGAGAGAGTGGAGGAAATTCCACTTTTTTTTTTTCTTTTTTCTTTGTTCTTTCACACCCAGCCTCCAAACAATCGCATGGCAGCAGTGGCGGTGAGGATCCGCAGGAGCCTAGAACTCTGAGGGAGAGGAACTTCCTCTGATCAGAATGTATGGTGCTAAGAGGGCAAGGCAAACCTCCATTGCTTTTTCTCTCTGCTGCAAGGCCCCACCTGTGAACAGATACAGGAAGTGCATCGTAGAGCAGGGAAATAAAGCCCTGGATTTCTGGCCAGAGAATCAAAAAGAGGAGTCCCAGGGAACCAGAAAGTATCAGAATGACCAGAAAGGAAGAGGACAAGAAGATGACCCCATACCGTTTTATGAGCTCCTGGGATCACTTCCCAGTTGTACATTGCGTGGATCTGACCCTAAACCACAAACCACCAGCACAACTGCACCAAGAGATAGACCATCCATCACACAGGCCCCAGACCGGCCACCGGGTGGCACATGTCTGCAGAAGATGTGAATAGCACTGTAAAGGTTTTGAAATGAGAATTGATGTTGAAAGCACAGTCCACAGTAGGTTAATGAGAACTTGTGGTTGAACCAAGCCAGGTAGATTACCTACTAAAAAAGAAACATTAACACTTCCCACAGGTTTTAAACAAGATCCAGAGTCTCATAATATTCAAAATTTCTGGGATAAAACTCAAAATTAACTGGCATTTGAAGAACCTGGAAATCTCAACTCACATGGAAAAAAACAATCAACAGATACCAATTCTGAGATGGCAAATATGTTGGAATTATCTAAAAAAGACATTAAAGTACCTATTACAAAAGTGCCATGAGTAAATGTGAACATTGTTTTAAAAACTGAAGAAAAGGCGAAAAGTCTCAAGGAGGAAATAGAAAATGTAAAGAAGAACCAAATGGGAACTTTAGAACTGAAATATATAATAACCAAAAATGTAAAAGTTATTGCATGAGCTCTGTATTAAATTACTATCATGGCTGCTATAACAAATAGCTACAAATGTAGTAACTTAAAGCAGAACAAATGTATTATGTAATGTGATGTGTTTTGAGAATGAGAAGTGTGAAATGAATCTTATAGAGGTAAAATCAAGATGTCAGCAGACCTGCATTTCTTCTGGAGACTGCAGGGAAGAATCCATTTCCTTGCTCTTTCCAACTTCTGGAGCCTGTCATCAGTCCTTGCCCTTTCCTTTATCTTTGAAGTGCATCAGTTTCACTGAACACAGTGGCTCACACTTGTCATCCCAGAACTTTGGGAGACCAAAGCAGGAGGATCATTTGAGCCCAGGAGTTTGAGACCAGCCTGGGCAACATAGCAAGACCCCCCGTCTCTACAAAAAATAAAAATAAAAGTTGGCCAAGCATGATGACACACACCTGTGGTCCCAGCTACCCAGAAGGCTGAGGCTTACTTGAGCCCATGAGGTCAAGACTGCAGTTAGCCATGATTGTGCCACTGAACTCCAGCCTGGGCAACAGAGTGAGACCCTGTCTCAAAAAATAAATACATAAATAAAGTGCTGCATCAGTCCAACCTCTGCTTTTTTGTTTCTCACATTCCTGTCTCCCTTTTACAAGGACCTTGTGATTACATTGGGCCCACGCAGATTATCCGTGATAATCTCCCTCTCAATATTCATAATTTAATCACATCTGCAAAATCCCTTTTGACATATACATTTACATATCCAGAAGTTCTAGGGATTAGTACATGGACATCTTTGGGTGGTCATTATTCTGTCTATCCAGGCTTAACAGCAGAACAGAGATGACAGAGGAAAAAGTCAGTCAACTTGAAGATAGATCAGTAGAAATGATCCAATCTGAAAAACAGAAAAAAAGATTGAAAAACTGAACAGAATTAAGAAATGTGGCACATATACACCATGGAATACTATGCAGCCATAAAAAAGAATGAGTTCATGTCCTTTGTAGGAACATGGGTGCAGCTGGGAACCATCATTCTCAGCAAACTATGCCAAGAACAGAAAACCAAACACCACATGTTCTCACTTGTAGGTGGGAATTGAACAATGAAAACACTTGGACACAGGAAGAGGAACATCACACACTGGGGCCTGTCGTGGGGTGGGGGGAGGGATAGCATTAGGAGATATACCTAATGTAAATGATGAGTTAATGGGTGCAGCAAACCAACATGGCACATGTATACATATGTAACAAATCTGCACATTGTGCACATGTACCCTAGAACTTTAATAATAATAAAAAAAAAAATTGAACAGAGCCACTGAGATCTGTGGATAAAATACTAAAAAGGCAGCCAGACGTGGCAGCTCATGCCTGTAATCCCAGCACTTTGGGAGGCAGATCATGAGGTCAGGAGATCGAGACCATCTTGGCTAATAGGGTGAAACCCCGTCTCTACTAAAAATACAAAAAAATGAGCCAGGTGTGGTGGCATGCGCCTGTAGTCCCAGCTATTTGGAGGCTGAGGCAGGAGAATCACTTGAACCTGGGAGGCGGAGGTTGCAGTGAGCAGAGATTGCACCACTGCACTCTAGCCTAGGCAACAGAATGAGACTCCGTCTCAAAAAATAAAAAAAAGAAAAAGCCTAATAGTTGAGTCGTTAGAGTTCCAGAGAAGAGGAGAAATAATTCAGTGCAGAAAAACAATTTGAAATAGTGGCTGATGAAAGACATAAATCTACAGATGCAAAGGGTCACCAACTCCATAAAGGATAAGTCCAAAGAAAGCCCACCTTAAACACATCATAACTGCTAAAAACTAAAAGAAAAAATCTTGAAAGCAGCCAAAGGAAAATGATACATTACTTATAGGGGATCAATGAGTTATATGGCTGTGGATTTTATTTTAGAAACCATGAAAACCGGAAAGAAATGGGACAACACTTTTAAATACTGCAAAGACCATATATTTTAACTCTATTTTATTGATTTGAAAACTGAGGTCTTGAAAGATGAAGTGGTTGTCTTGAATCACAAGGCTCATTAATCCCATTCCTAACCTCATGACCACTTTTCTACCATGCTGTGGTTTGAATGTGTCCCCCAAAGTTCATGTGTTGGAAACTTAATCCCTAATGCCACAGCATTGAGAGGTGGAGACCTTTAAGAGGTGATTAGGTTGTAAGGACTCTGAGTCCGTTTTGTGTTGCAATAACAGAATACCACAGACTGGCTAAATCCTGGCTTAAGGATTTGAAATTATTTTATCTTTAGAAGAAACAGTTCTTCTCCACTCTAATGTCCTGGTCTCTCCATAGGTTTATTCCTATATAAGGTCAACATGAAACTTTTGTGAAGTCCCCACGTCCTGTAAGAATCAAAGAAAGCATCAGAAATTCCATGAGTTTCTTCAGCTTCTCCAAGTTGTGCTCTTGAGGTACATAGTTTTAATATAAACCCTGAAGCAGGGTTTTCTGAACAGTCCCAGAGAGCAAATATGGGATCTCATTCTAAGGTCCAGAGTTAGATACTTAAATTATAGATCTAAGGCTGCCATTATTCCTTCTGAATAACTTTATACCATTTCTTTTAACATTTTAATGTCAGAAATACGTTTTTTCCTATAAAGACATATATAATGCGTCCAGCTTTTTGTTAAAATACCTCTTCTTGTCAAATATTTCACAGATCAGTAATTTTATAGCATCAAACAATTTTGAACACACTTTCTATATTAGAGTTTTCTGCGTCAGCCGAGGGTTAGCTGACTCGCCGTTACTGGAATTGTGCTGCAGCTGGGTGAACAGCTGTGTATTTCCCCTTCTTTCTACACATGTCCCATGATGTGGCCGCCGCCACTGGCCACAGCTTGGTAGCACCCAGCAGAAATCCTATAGCTGCCATGACCTCTGAACCCAAATTGTATTTGTGCAAATACACCAAGATCCCAGTCAGAATGGCTGTTACTAAAAAGCCAAAAATTAACAGATGCTGGCGAGGTTGCGAAGAAAAAGGAATGCTTATACACTGTTGGCGGGAGTGTAAATTAGTTCAGCCATTGTGGAAGACAGTGGCAATTCCTGAAAGACCTAAAGACAGAAATACCATTCTACCCAGCAATCCCATTACTGGGTCTACACCCAACGGTATATAAATCATTCTTTTATAAAGACACATGCATGTGGATATTCACTGCAGCACTGTTCATAGTAGCAAAAACATGGAATCAACCTAAATGCCCGTCGATGATAGACTGGATAAAGAAAATGTGGTACATATATACCATGGAATACTATGCAGCCATAAGAAAGAATGAGATCATGTCTTTTGCAGGGACATGGATGGAGCTGGAGGCCATTATCCTTAGCAAACTAACACAGGAACAGAAAACCAAATACCACATATTTTTACTTGTAAGTGGGAGCTAAATGATGAAAACACATGGACACATAGAGGGGAACAACACACACTGGGGCCTTTCAGAGGGTGGAGGGAGAGGATCAGGAAAATAACTAAATGGGTACTAGGCTTAATACCTGGGTGGTGAAATAATCTGTACAACAAACCCCCATGACTCAAGTTTACCTATGTAACAAACCTGCACTTGTACCCCAGAACCTAAAAGTTAGAAAAAATACACCAAGATTCAATGTCTAGTTCATAGAGGTAACTAATATGCAGCAACCCCAGCAGTTACTTTCTCTCTCTCTCTTTTTTTTTTTTTTTTTTTTTTTTTTTGAGACAGGGTCTGGCTCTGTTGCCCAGGCTGGAGCACAGTGGCACAATCACAGCTCACTATGGCTTTGACCTTCTGGGCTCAGGTGATCGTCCCACCTCAGCCTCCCATGTAGCTGGGACTACAAGCATATGCCACCACACCCAGCTAATTTTTTGTAGAGATGAAGTTTTGCCATATTGAGGTTTTGTCATGTTGCCCAGGCTGGCCTTGAACTCCTGGACCTTAAGCAATCCACCCGCCTCAGCCTCCCAAAGTGCCAGGATTACAGGCATGAGTCACCACACCTGGCCCCAGCAATTACTTTCTATAAGAAGTAATGGAGGCCGGGCGCGGTGACTCATGCCTGAATCCTAGCACTTTGGGAGGCTGAGGCAGGTGGATCTCTTGAGGCCAGGAGTTTGAGACCCGCCTGGCCAACATGGTAAAACTCCATCTCTACTAAAAATATAAAATTATCCCAGTGTGGTGATGGGCGCCCATAATCCCAGCTACTTGCGAGGCTGAGGCAGGAGAATCACTTAAACCTGGGAGGTGGAGGTTGTAGTGAGCCAAGATTGTACCATTGTACTCTACCCTGGGCAACAGAGTAAGACTCTCTCTAAAAAAAAAAAAAAAAAAAAAAAAAAACTGGAGGCCAGGTCCAGTGGTGGCTCACGCCTGTAATCCCAACTACTTGGGCAGGCTGAGGTGGGAGAATCACTTTGGTCCAGGACTTTGAGGCCAGCCTGAACAACATAACGGGACCCTGTCTTTAAAAAATAAAAATGAAGTAAGGGAGCACTGCTTACCAGCAGCCTTCACAATCCGTGTTTAGAGGTGTCCAGGAAGCAACCTAGGAGCTCAGAAAAGCTGCCAGCAGTTAAAAACTGATTAGTTTCCAAAAATCAGTATGTATATTGGAGGGACAAAGGACAATCACCTTGTGGTTCACTTTGGACTTGGGATTACATAGGTGGCAGCAATAAGTCCCTGTTGGTTTGAACTCCACTCTGCCTAAGACCTGATTCAGCCTGTGGGTGCTTCCTGACTCCCCATGAAAC